TAAATGCTTTGGTCTGTACAATTCACGATAACATTATTTATAGTTATTGATGCAACTTACAAATTTGGAGTCAATTGAGTAACCTTTATTTTATCATTTTCAATTTCTTTCTGGTAGTCATGTGGTGCAACACAAAATGAACACTTCTGAGCTCCTAACTTTACAGGACCATTACATATCACACAGAGTGCAACTTGAGGCTTGCTACATTTTATGCAAGAAGCAGTGTTAAGTGGTAATTTCATATTACAATGTATACAAAGTTTTTGAGAAGAAATAGAATCCATGAGTTGAGGTTGGCATTCACCACAATTAGCACAGAAGGCAGCTTTGGCAGATATTTTATGCTTACATTGGATACACAACTTAGAGGACGATTTATCCTGCTGTGGGTGTGGCTGACGAATTCCACATTCAGAACAGAACTTTGCATTGGCAGGAATGAGAGGGACTTTACAAGATATACATTCTGACATGGCTAGTCAAGTTGTGAAATAGTGCCCAGATTAAGAAGAGTACTGTCACCATAGGCGTCACCTAAATTACCAGAGACAAGCGTAAACGGCCGCGCTCTTTAACAGACACAGTAAGCCAGGAGAAACGTCTACTATATGGGATACGGTCAAACTGGTTAACGCCTTATAGACTGCTCAGAAACTGGCAAACCATAGATACTATGTAGTATCTATGGGCAAACTGCTCTTCCCCGTGCCAGATTAGTTTAAACCCCGCCCCACAATCCCCCTGAAAACTCAAATTTGCCCTCGTAGACTACTACCGGTACTAAGTAAAAATTTCTCCTAGTCTGAATTTCTTAATTTTAAAATTCCCCCTCTTGTTCCTAAAACCATAGATATTAGAGACTACAGTCTCTAATATCTATGCTAAAACATAGATCCATAAAAAAATTCCCTACTGGCAGTCCTACTGTACTTCAATCTACTTAAACATAATTATTCCCATATAAAAAATAATTAATCCTGTGTGGCCTGCTCTAGATGACTTCCAGTCTCACGTAGCCAGACCCACCCTCCTGCTTTTTGCCTCCTGGATCCCAAAGGGCAAGTCTGGCTATGCAAGGCTATAGATGACTATGGACACATACATACAGAATTTAAGATATCACTACAATCATTAAATTACCGAAATCATAAAAGACAAAATTATTTTTAGTTCATTGTTCATTAATTTCTTGTTCATGTCTTTCCTGATGAAAAACGATAATTTCCCAAGTAGCAACTGACTGCTTCAAAGTAATAGTATCTGGAAAATTATCTTCAAAGCCATTAGGCAATTCTTTTTCAAGCTCATAACTCTCCAAGTGTGCATACATTGTATCTCTGAGACTATGTAGTTGAAAAAATAGCATGAATCCTATGGTTTCATTATTTTACTCATAACTTACGGCCAATTTCTCTCATGTGCTTCCCTATGACGGACATTAGTTTCAATAAATTCAAAGAAAAGGTTGAGAAAAGGAGGAATGTCAACGCCTCTCAAAAAAGACTTTAATTCTCTTTCTTGCTCTTCTTGTAACTTTTCATAAAACTCTTGATCAAGAGAATCAAATGGCTCCTAAAATAATAAAATATTCTTACAATAAATACACAAGAGCACTGATTACTTGTTTGCGTAATGTTAGAGTTTTTGCCATTCGTACTGAAATGGTCTCCCAAAGTGAGAGGATATGACCAAGTGTACAATATTCCATTGCCTGTATGTGCGTAACAATAAAAAGGTACATTAGCTATATTAATAGTATCATGTTGCATACCTTTTTGCTGGTGAATTTCTTTTCCATTCTCAGTACTTTTTTTACATAACCTTTAAGTTCTATATTGGCTGTTCCTCCTCTTTTTTCAGAAGAGAGAAAACTAATCACAATCTCCACCACATCAAGGCATTCCCTTAATCTTTGCATACTACCCAATTCAGTCACTATTTCAGTCTGTTGCTTTGTATTCAGCTTAACCTATAACAAAAAAAGACAGTTAATATAAATTTGTTTTTTCAAGTGGTCACCTGTGGTTTGATATTTTTTCGTATGCTGGCAAAAGCTTTAGCAGTGTAAACATCTTTCCTGTACACAACTTGAGGTATCTCTAACAGTACCAGTGGCTTTCCATGTATGAATCTATCAACAATGTTTTTTTCAAGTGCTTGTAAATCATAGCTGACATTCTGTCCCTTTCCATGCTCCAGTGAGTAGTGACAGTGTGAGAGGACGATTGAGAGAATCTGATGCTCATAATCTAGCAGATGACATGACTGGATTTGACTGGCTGGGACTTTATGTTTCTTCCATAGTATTCTAAGAGAGAATGAAGAAACAAATAATTGTACAACACCTGGTAGCTTACTCTTTCTTCTGTTTCTTTTTCAATTGTGAATGACATTTTTCCACAAAATCATTATGAACAGCAACCAGTAGGTCCACTAGTGCTACAGTGCATACTCCATGACCAGTCAGTGTGGGTATGAGATAAGAGAGGGGGGTACTATCATCCCATGTTAATGTCCTTACAAACTCAAGATCAACTGGTACACGAGCTGAAAAAAGATGCCACAAAATTAATATTTGAACAAGTGTTACTAATATTTACAATGATCCTTTAATCTCTCTTTGACAAGTGCCCATGCCTTTCTAACACAATTTAGTTTCTCTTGAAATTGATTCTTCTTATTTTCATTATGTATACCTAAAGAGACAATAATAACAAAAAATTAAGTTGTCATAATACCTCTATACTCCTTTAAACTGTCAACGTAGTTTCCTATTGTGATCTTAGCAACTTCATTCTTGTCAAGTCTCCTGTGGCTCAGCCGATACATTTCCTGCTGTAATTTGACAATGGCAGGAAGATACTGAGTTGCTCTAAGTAGTGGCTCCTGTATTGAAACTATTATTATACACCAAAATAATAAACAACTTGCCTGTATTACAAATTCATATAAAATGGAATATCTTTCTTTCCTAGTCTGTAAAACTTGTAATAAGTGTTCCAGTGTAATACGTGATCTATAGCTCCATAAATGAGGAGTTATTGCTTTAGGTGATAATCGTACTCTCTCATGAATCACATAAAACAAATGATCACACTCTGATATAAATATTAAAAATTACACATTGAAATTGACTTGAAATTATTGAATCAATTTTCACCTTCTTTTTTGTCACTCAATAGTAGCCGAGTTGCTTGTTGTAATTCAGCATCCAAATTCTAAAGGTGCATAATAAACTCTAAATTTTTTAAGAACATACCATCAGCACAGGCTTTATAAAAGTGTCTGAAAAACATCTCTCCCATTCAGCTCTATATTCCCTTGAATCAAGCCCAGGAGCAATAGCTGGAAATAATAAAAGCATGAATAATGCAAACTAGCCATTGCAACACAACAATGACATCCTTACGTATTGCTGTATTTTGAGAAGCAATATTCCTTAATATTAAATGCATTAGCAGACAAGAATCATCTCTACTCTTTCCTATAGCAGTACTCAGCATGTGAATATCATGCATTAAATGTTCCCAGAAGAACGTAGGCATATCAGCTGGTCTGACTTGTTCCTTAGTGAGGTCCAACAATCCTTCAGTTGCATGCTATTTAATAATGTTCATAATAATTTCTACTCCATACTATTTACAATGTACCTCATTAGTACATGAGCTCCATAATAAAGAACAATGCATTATTGCTCTCAATATAGCACAAGATGATGGAGATAAAGCTCTTTCAGTTGAAGGAACAGCTTCACGTTGGGTTGGGTTACCAAGAGCATAGCCAGTCTCCGTATTATCAGTACTGAATTTTTAATTACATATAATTTTTATGAATTATATACTTACTTGTTGGATAATTTATTGTCAGCAATGAGTACATGAAGTTTACCCCCTATTGGTGCATGGCATTCAGGACAAGTACTTTCCGTCCATGCTCGTCCACACTAAAAATAAAAAATACACAAAAGCAAATTTTAGGGAAAATATATGGTTCTGTTACTTCTGATATAAAGTATCTGTGACCTCTTGGGCATTCTATTAGTACAAAAATAAAATATTTAATTTCTCATTTTGATTCCCCACCATAAAATTGTCCTCCACCAACTGCACCTTTGACCAAAGGTAGGATATCTTCAGGCATTGTAGGCATGTAGACTCTCTAAAATAATCATTAAATGAACTATAATCCCCTCTGTGACAATATCATTACCTTTAGCTCTGCTGGACTATTTATCATTTGAACGAATGGAGTTACTAGTTTCTTATTGCTAGACTGTATTATAATAGCAGCATGTACCACTAGATCAGTCAGTAATCTATTCTGTGGATTTATTCCTGGTCTCAGAGTCATTGGTTCCAGTGTCCCACAATATGAATCATTAATTAAATGCTGGGCAGCCCACATAAGCTAATGGTATTAACATATAACATAATATAAAACAATATCTTTTTTTTATTGCAAGACATTTACTTCTCTCTTGAGTCTTTTACACTGCCTAACAGCAGCCAGTATTCCTTCTTTTGTCTCACCCTGTATAAAGTACACATAATAATCATATACCATCGATACTCACTGATATTCTCTTAGCTTCAGTAGTAAATGTATTACTACCAGTCACTATCTCATACACTCCAACAAGTAAAGGAATAACTTCAGCATCACTAAGATTCTAATGTCAATAACACAAAATAATCTACACTATAAAAAGCTAACTTACTTGGATGGCTAGTGTTAGTTCTTCCAAGTTTTCCCCATACACAGCATCAGACAAACAAGCTCTTATTTTTTTATAATCCTGATATATGACAAATGGATCATTATGCCCTGTTTCCTCCTGTCAAAAGTATAACAATACTTAAAAGCAAGTGAGAAAGGTTCATACTTGACGTAGGTTTATAGGTATAATCCATTTCATTTCTTCCTCTGAAGTCACATTAGTAAGGAAAGTGACTCCATATTGTCTTGCTAGTTGTTTGACAAGAAATACACCAGGCCCAGAGTCTTTATCAGTTTCATTATAATTAAGTTTTACATCCTCACAGCATCTTTTAGCCATTTCTAAGAGTAACCGTGAATAATTTGTGTGAAGACACTGTCTCTCTCCACTGTTCTGACAGTGCAATAGTTCTGCTACTATACTCAGTGAATAACGAATTTTTGCTATTCCTTCCAAATAAGGTAATGTGATTCCACCCTCAAGAGATGGGGCAGGAGCAGATAAGACCACAGTCCCTCCATCCTTCAGTAGTTCATATGCTGTTGCAACTCTCTCTTGAAGTGATGCTTCAATGTATCTTTTATGAACTGAATCCTAAATGATAAATAATAAATACATATATAGCCAGCTCATGCAGCTTCTTTTTGCAGTGGATTATTACGTTGCTCAAAAATTGTGCCAAATACACTGTACTATAGACTACAGGGTATTTTGACAAAATTACAAAAAGAGAATTCTTCATTTTTATAATTTTTCCCCATACATATGTATACGTGTACATGCCCTTATGTTGTGTATTAAATTTGAAAAGATTTTGATCAATTTCGAATTTTTATAATTTTTAAAAGTCACTCAACAATTGGGCCAAACACCCAGGGTCCTTGCACTATAAGGGATTTTGGCCTGGAATTTTTTTTAAATGGCTAAGAGACAATTTCCCATTTTATAATTTCTTTGATACATAAACTTGTTCTTATGTTGTGTAGAAAATTTGAACTGATTCTGATCAAAATAAAATTTTCTATAATGCTTTGTCAGAAACCCTGGGTATAGCAACAATTTTTCTTCTTACTTCAAAACACTGGATGCAAAGCAGACAAAGATTACGGTCATCTTTTATTAATTGTCGTGATCTTGAGAAGTATACTTCCAAATGCTCTCTAACAGCATCAATACTAAAAATATGAGCATATTTAGCATAACAAATGTAAAATCAAAAATATTTTAAAACAGCTGTAATATGGAAAATAATAATTGTAAATATTTACTTATGCTCCAGTAGTAGTTGTAATAAGAAAGAACGTATCACAGGAACAGCATCAGTCTCTTCTTTATCAGAGTAAGTCAATTCTTTTGTCTTATCTTTTTCAGTGAATACAACCTTTAACAGTTCTTCAATGAGCTGAGGCTCGGGAGGAGTGGTCTGACCAAAACAGAGTGAGGAAACAACTTCCATGAAAAAGGCCTTGCAATATCCACGAATCCTCTTCTGTAGATCAGCTCTACAGCATTTAATATCATTAATATGAAATAACTCCATTAAATTGCTTACGAAAATTTGAATTTCTTTACAGCATCACTGTCTAAAGTTCTAAGGACTGTCTGGACTTTTTGAATAGCCTGGACTCTTGTGAATTCTTGACAATTCTTCAGAAACTAAAATAAACTACCAATAAGTCCCATTCTTGTATACTGAGAACTCACCAATTCAATTCTAGTACCATACTTCACTAAATTTTCAAATTTCTTGTCATCTGTAGAGAATTTAGTGACAATGTGCTCAACAAACATTTGTATGGCTCTAACATGCTGCCATTTGCATCTAAAAAAGGAAAGTATTAAAGTACAATACATTAATACCAATTTACTTTATTCCAATGCATAGTTCTTTGGATTGCTCATTAGGTGCATTTAATCCTAAACTAATAATTGAATTGATAGCATTTTGACACAACTGAAGCTTGACCAGTCTTTGTGGAATATATTCTCTGTCTTCAGGTTTAAGTGGAAGAGATAGTTCATGTTTAATAGCAACACTAACAGCATGCAGAGGTAAGTCCATGTACTGCAAATTATGAACCTCTATGGCTATGTAAATTTATAAATAACATACATTTGTAAAATAAATTGACAATAAAGAACTAAGCAGCATACCATTTTTCAAATGAACTAATATTCCAGGTATATGAGTAGTAAGTTGTCCAAACCACATCATTTCTTGTTGATAATCATGATATACTACATGAACTGCTGCTAGATAAGACATGAGTGACTGATGAGTGAATTCAGGACCAGTGATAATAGCATCAAGAGCTTTAGTAATAATCTAAAAAAATTAAGTACATTAAATTTCCAGTGAAATATAACCCATATACAGTACATGCCATACCTCATATTCATCACTAGCTCTATGATGAGGTACATGATGTATACTTCTCAGTATATCTCCAAGATAATACCAGTACATTTCATTCCAATTTTCTTCTGGTACTCTTTTTAAAATAATGGCAAGTTGTGTTTCAGACAAAACTTCACATAGTTGAATATGAATATCTTGTCTACTTCCACCTGCACAACATTGAACAAGTAAATTCATTTAAATCAATCCAAATTTCTATACTTACTAGAGGAGGTTCTAACTGTGTCCAGTTTTGCTTCAATGGCCTCTTTTATTAACCAAAAGAAAGGGAAGCAACACACAAACTCTTCATCAGCAGCTAATACTCTTCCTCCTATTACTCCAGTGGTTGTTGGTTGTAGTTCATGAATACCTTTACCCATAGCATAACTCTGATAACTGAACAACACCAACTCCTCATTACTAAATATTGCCAACCACAGTTGCTCAACATAATCCCTACAAAAGATGAAACAAATAATTATGGTCTGTCTATTTCTTCGTGGCCTTAATTTAAACATGTATGTGTAACCTAAAGTCATTATCACAATTTAGATACCTACATGTACCTTGCTTCCTTTAGTAGGTTAAGATTAGAGTAATGATCAACAAACAATAAGATGTCAGCAAATAATGGAACAATAACTTCATCTAATCGTCTTGTCAGGACATTCTGGAATGTTCCACCACTTTGTAACTTCTCAGTGCTCAGTGCTTCATTCAGTACCCATTCCTTATATAATGAATTCTTCTCTCTTTCTTCCAAAAGGTTCTTTATGTGTTTAACTAAAGCTCCATAAAATGTATCACTACCTGTAAAACATAAATAAATTTATTCAATGTTAAGAACATTAATTCACAGAAATACTTAAAACAAATCAGTAAGCTGTGCTCACTCACTAATACATGTATAGGTACATACTTAGAGGGAAAATAGGTCTCTGTGGTATAAGTTCTAGTAGTAGTTTCAAGCGGTGTGCCCCCCATTGCCTCCTTGTCTCATCACTCTCAACCAGTTTAGCTACAGTAGCCTGTACACTGGTACGGAGGCGACAGCACTGAGTGTGGTCTCCTTTGGACTGTGGAGCCTGGTAGGAAGGTTTCACAAAAGGAAGATCATCCAGCTAAAAACAGAAATTAAATCATTTTAAACTGAACCACATTATATGTAGAGCTTCCCACAAGATTTTGGTATAGTGCCCAGCTCATGAGGTGCACTGTTTAGCTTGCTTAGTAGAGTTTTGTAGAAAACTCTGAACTATGGTAGTTTATCAAAAATGACTAAAAGAAAATTCTCCATTTCTAAATTTGTTCTGATATACATGTTCTGATATTTAGCTTGAGGTGATTTGGATCAAACCTAGATTTTTTTATGAATTTTTTTACTCCAAAAGACATGCAGTGCTTATTGTCAGCTCAAGAAGTGTACTGCTTAGCTCACTTAACACATTTTGTGGGGAACATTAATTGTATGTCATGCTTTTGAACAGTTTGAACTAACCACATCATGATCAGCCTCATTCTCCATCAGTTCTTCCTCATCTTCTAATCCCATTCTTTCCTCCTCGTATGTTTCCATTGGCTCTTCAATACTAGCACTAGGCTCAGGCTCTGATTCAAAGCGTCTGCTATAAAACAACTGACTGATAGGAGAACTCAGTGCATCATCAAGTGTTAGAGCTGATTCTGTTGGAGCCCTAATATCATCAATGTGAGCTGATATCCAGGAGCCTCCTTGAAATCCAACAAATGAGGACTTCTGAGTCTCTGCCTGACGAGGAAGATGAATAACAAATAGAACATGAGTTGATCCTTGTCCTTCTCTCCACTTTAACTTTGCCCTCTCATCATCAATACGATATCTAGCACAAGCTAACAGATCACCATACAAGTGACCTGAATCACACTGAATGATTAATAGATAATCTTTATCGGTTCCATGAGAATCTCTTGTGAAAGTAGGACTACAATGGCAAAAACAATGATTTAAAAACTTCTGTATAGCATAAGTTAAATCAGGCAATTTTAAAATTTGCAGATTCAAAATTATGTCATTGAGCATGCTCAGAATAATAGACTCAATTTTGGCAGATATTCCTAGCAAATGCCCAATCCATTAATTCCCTGCCAATATTTGTGGCTATACAGTAACTATTTCTAATTTTACATAATAGGCTAAAACTTATCTAAAAAATTATTGGCTCATTCTCACCTTATTTTGTTACTAAAATCCATTTCTGTATCAAACTCTTGTAACAAGAAACAAGATACACAATCATACTCCAATTCAATTTTAAAACACAAATCTTTTACTTCAAGACTAGAAAGAAGATGACTGTGAGTGGTCACCTACAAATCAAGGATAAAAATTATTATAATAAAGATAAAGTACCGTCTATCAGGAAATTTTTACTGTGATTTAAATTTTACTGGATTAGAATTTCGCAAAAATTAGATTACCCATATAATTACATGCCACATTCAATAATACATGACACAGTCTTATTTAGCAAAAATTAAGTCACAGCACAATTTTAAACCGCAAAAATTTCCTACCACACTAATTTCCTGATCTACGGTACTAGGTATAATTGTTAATTCACTTGGATAAGTAGTCCAGATTGATGAGCCTGTCCTCCATGAAGATGATACTGTAAGAACTGTACTATCGAACCATGACACTGCTCGTTAAAATATATATTTTTAAGCTTCTTTTGTTGATCAGATAAAGAAGTATTGTGTAAACGAATGAGAGCATCGGGTGAAGCCATTTGTAGTAGTACTTTCTTGCTGAATATGAGCACATCTCTCTTCCACTCATCTGTCTTGTGATGCTCATTCCAGTCAAAATTCTTCTTCCATGATTGTATACTGTGGAGCTGCTCAGTGGCTTGGAATATGACTGAAGATGGAGTATCATCATGATAACCAACAAATGCATCTTGCTTGGTAAACCTGGAATAATAGAAATGAAATAGCATATTAGTGACAATATTACATAATTAGATCAGTATAAAATAATGTTTGTTTGGGCATTTTCAGTTACAATAACCAAAAAATAATGAAAAAAATTAATAATTAAACAAAGTCTAAAGTGTTAACAAAATTAATAAAAAAATTAAAAAGCATACATGTACATGTATTAACAAAAATTTTTCGATCCAAAATTTTTCGAATTTTAACCATAAGCTACAAACTACCTAATTTTTTGCAGTCAAAAACAAAAATATTTCTGAAATATCACCAGAAATTTTGAAGCTGTTATAAACAAAACTTTTTGATTATGAACATCAAAGTGGCAAAGATCATTTTTAGTCAAATTTATAAAAAATAGCATTTTAAAAATCTTTCAAAGTTTAGCTATAAATACTATTTTATAGACCATGTACTAAAAAATGAAACGTTATATTCCAACTATATTGTATTAATACAGAAATCTAACTGTATTGTTTTAATACAAAAAGTAACAGGGTTTTCCACATAGTGCTCAGCTTCTTGTCAGTAACTCAATATATCATTAAGTTGCTCAAAAAATTGAGCCAAAAACCCTGTATTACTGACAGGGTCTTAGTGTACTTTGACAAAAATTGCAAGGAGAGAAATCTCAATTATTATAATTTTTTTCTGATACATATACTGTACTTGGCCTATGCTGTGCATCAATTTTGAGTCATTTCAATCAAATTTAAAATTTCCCTAAATTTTTAAAGTTGCTCAAAAATTGAGCCAACAACCAAAGGTTAAAGCATTTGGTGTCAGGCAAATTTTGTCAAAAATAGCTTGGAAAGAATCCCCATTTTAATAATTCTTTTGATACAAATACATGTCGTTGTGTTGCATTTTAACTTTGAGATGATTCCAATTAAAATTGGATTTTTACAAATATTTAAAGTTTCACTATTGTACTGCTTGTCAACTCATGAAGCATGCTGTTTAACTTACTTAGCACACTTTGTGAAAAACCCTAAAAGTAACAAATTAAAAAACTGAAACCAAACAACAATTTTCATTTGTCCTTTACTTACAGCTCTTTATCTACATGTACATTAGCTCACTAACTTTTTATTGGTATGATTAATTTTGCTGAATTGTTCAACCCAATAATTTAATCTCATATGCACTTCCTTTTGCCATTCCTCTTGTAGTACAGTCTCAGTTAGGACAAAGTGTTTTTCCAGTCTATTGATCAAAGGAGTAGGGAACTTCTCATATACTGTACTCTTCTCTGCTATTAGAATTAACCTAAAAATAATTAATTTAAATTATGAAGTACATGTATATGTGCTGAACTTACTTAAAGTTGTTATGAACACGGCACTTCACTCTATGTGTCTGTAGTCCCAGATCAACATATCTCTGTCCTCCAGCTAGTATTATATAATACTGGTTTAGTAGATCATACAAGCTCTCATACAGGTTCTCAAGGTTAAGGAGGATGACAGTACGACCAGTTTCCATACATATTTTAATCTGATTAATGTTACGACACACTTGAGTGTACTCTCTGTCTTTAGGGAATGAGCTCCCAAACAGTACAAAAGGCTCTATCCTGTGCTCACTCATCTTGTGCTCACTCCTACCTCTTGGGGATACAGGTGATTCTTCAAGACCTCTCTCAGAGATCATGCTGGCACTGGAGCTTGCTAATGAAAGATCTCCTTCTAGAGATTTGTCAAGCCTCAGGCCAACCTCTTCATGAAGAAAGTGCTTGATGACTTGTAGAGCAGCATAATTCTCAGTTAAAAATAATAAATAACGATTCTCTCTGTAAATGAAAAAATTACAAAATAAAACTAAACATATGAAAAAGTTCTCTTTTTTTGTCGTACATGACAAAGAGACAAATTTAATATCTCTGAATCTTACCCATGCCATGATGTTTCCTTAGTTTGGAGACTTTTCCTAATAAGACCCAATGGAGTACAGTCAGGATTAAGCAACTCATTATCCTAGTAGTATTCATATACAACATTTATCATTTTACTGCCTTACTTGTTGTACAGAAGATGGTTCAGGTACTTTGTCAATGTTTGGAAGAAGATTTTTAAATATTTCATAAGTTTTAAAGTCCTCAAGGCCACCAAAGTTTCTTTTAATAGCATGTTGAAGCTGTGGGCCAGTAGGAGGGCGACCACTCTTTTCACACATCCAGTACAACATTTTAATTAAACTAAAACATTAGTACACATCACACTCTCTAATAATAACAGTTTACCTGTAGAAGTCTCTAAGTCCAAAGAATGCTTTATTAACTTTAGCTTGCTCATCACATATTTTCTTATAAGCAGCCGATAAAGGTTGAAAATAAGCATCAAGCCTTTCTTTAACTGGATCATCAACACGATTAGAACAAATTCCTCTTTAAAATTTAATTAGCAATAAATAAAGTATAACCTGCGTATAACTCACCTTGCTGATAGCTCTAGTTCTTTCTCATCAGGGTCTCCTCTGGTTACCATAACTCCTCTGTTCATTTTAGCAGGATCCAATGCCCAGTTTGATATACCAATAAATGCAACACGTTGCTCACGATCTACAAACTATACACCAGTAAACAATGTATCAAGTGTTAGGAATAAAGCAGGTTTACCTGTTCAGAGTCATCAGCTCCCTCTGTTCCATCCTCCAGTAGTGGATGAAGAGCCTTTAATGGAAGATTAGGAGAATCCTCAGCTAATCCAACCTCATCCAATACAACAACTGATACATAGTTAGTCACATCTTGCTTCTTCTGGAAACTCTTGGCAGTATTGAATACTTCAATGACACTCTCTGGAGTTGATAGCTGACTGCATTGATAGGAGAACATGTGAACCTAGAGATAAAATTGGTACCATAAAAGAGAAATACAAATGAAAGGAGAAGCGACAAAATAGATAATATACACAAAACACTCATGGTTAACCTCTTTAAATTCTTTCATAAGTTGTTTTTCAGATGACCTTCCAAGCATTGAAGCAGCAACAATGGATTTGGCTAGTGATTTAGAGCTGCCTGGTTTACCAACAAGAAACAAAGGTATCCTTAATTCAATACATATTGCCATCATAAACACATTCTCTCTCAGTGCAGCATTTCTTGCAATATTAGGACCAAGTTTCATGTTATCAAGAAGGACATCCTGACACCTAACACATAAATTGAAATAAACAAAATGGAATTTATGTACAGTACAGTACCATTTAATTTCATTGCTGAATTGTTCTCTTCCAGCTATTGCTAGAGGGGCAGTGAATTGTTGTACTACACCATCCTCATATTCATTTCTATCTTGTAGTCTGGCATGATAGCACACACTAACTGATAATATCAGTGCTCTAGTGATATCAGACACTGGCTGCTTCTCCTAATAAATAAAAATAAAAAAGGGCTTGTCTGAATTAACACTATTTCTTGGAGCTTACATCTCCTTGAGCTTTATCTCTAACACTCTCACTAAACTGCTCCTTCTTCTGACAGAAATACTTAAAGACAATCATTGCACGCTCCACATCTCTCAAACTAACAAAACTACATTCATCCTAAAAATGATGAAATTATTAAGGTAATATTATTATGCTGCCATACATTTCTTCCTCTCATGTATTTCTGTGACCAGGCCAGTACATTAGCCACAGACTCTATGACAGCTGTTTGACCAGTTACTTCAGCAATAGCATGACATCTATCTTTCACTATCTGTCTTGTATAGTCCTTCTCTGTTGCATTGTTCAACTGTCCAAAGTCATACACTAATGGTCTCATGCTGGGAGGCAAGTCAAGTACTCTATACACTAACTGCCTGAGTGGGATTTTACCTATTAATAAAATTTAATGTATAATGTGATTCCTCTAAAACACATTACTTAAAATTTTGTAATTGCAATTTTAATAATAAATTTACATGTAAGAATAGGGTTTAAATTAAATGTTTTTGTCAAATTCAGAGAATGAATTACAGTTCAATTACATTAAGCTACACTGTATAAGACCAAGCTCTGATAATGAAAAAAAATTCAGTATTGTGTACCTAACTTCTGCTGAGTTTCTGTTGCTTTTACAAAAAATCCAAGACCAGCTGATTCAAGCTTACTAATCATCTTATCAGTATGTCTACAATACATGTAATTGAATTCAGAAAAACATTATACTCACTTCCTATAAGGATTACATGCAGCAATAAACTTAACATCAGCTTCAATTAGTCTGCCATTAATTCTTCTATCACACATCACTTCCTTTATCAGGCCAATAGCATCACTTGTATTAGCTTCATCAAAGAATAATATTGTATCAATTTCATGATCATTTCTATTCTTAGCTGCAATCTTTTCAGCCTCTTCTACTTTTTTAATAACATCACTTTCTAAAGTACCACCATGAACCTAAAAAACAATTATACTACATGCATCATTTAAGAAGTGAAATATCTCACCTTCATAATAAGCATGTTTTGGACATGACTTCCTCCATCTTTACAGCCTCTGGCAGCAAGATCACACATGTACCTGATTAGTCTTGTCTTACCACAACCAGTCTCACCCATTATAACTACTGGTATATTACACCTTTATAATCAAGAGTAAAAATCCATCAATAATATATGATTGATTTATGATGAGTCAATTGATGCATAACAATATACATGTACACTGCATCTTTAAAATAATATTATTAATATAATACCTGAATCTCATATGTATTGCCATTATTTTGATGACATTATCAACTGTCAGTACATAAGTAGGGTCTGGATCATAGCTCCATTCTAGACCCATTACCATTCCAATCTTTTCTATCATAGTATCCTTTTGCCAGGATTGATAATTTTCAGAAAGATTGACCTGATTATGTTGCAGCCCAGTGTGCAGTTGTGGTTTCATTACTCCTGCTTCTATCATCAAACCTTTAACAGGATCCATTAGGTCTCCAGTACGAGTGACGTTAAAACCAACAAATGTGATACTCATTCCATCTTCATTGAAGAACAAATAAGGATGATAACTACATACATGTAATAAAAAGTAGAATACATTATGTAAAGCACATGAATAAAAATGTAAAACTATACCTTTGTTCCCATTGCTTTCTCTCATCAATCTGATATTCCTGCAGTGTCTCTTCTACAGGAATTTCTTCTTGATTCTCTGCAGCTACCTCACCTTTAAGAGATGATGTGGCAAAATCCTAAAAGAATTAAGTACACACACACACAGTTAAGAAATTGCTTTCAGAACCACTTTTTGAGAGCAAAGTGTGGACTATAATAGTACAAAATATTTTTCAGAATTTTTGTCATTTTCTTAAACTGGCCATAACTCAAAAAATTGAAGTCAGAATCAGCTCAAACTTTCTACACAGCATAAGGATATTAATATGTATCAGAAAATGTAATAAAAATTTGAGGTGACTTCAGAGGCATTTTTGAAAAAAACCAAAAATGTAATAAAAATTGGGAGTGTTTTGATAATAAAATGTGCATAAACAATGTACCTTGGACATTCTGATCATAAACTTGACTACAAAAGTCTTAAGTCCAGACATGACATCGCCAACAATATCTTCATTGCAGAATATTGAGTTCTCACAAGATCTCAATTGAGTATTGAGAAATTCAACAAAATGTTTTAATTCAGACCATGATGGATCTTTTACTCCACACTGCCTATAAAATATAGTAATTGTTAATTGAGTAATATAAAATACAAATGCAAGGCTTTGAAATGGTCATACTTTAATAAAACTTGTAAACATTCAACATGCTTTCCTTCAACTAGTCCAGGATTATAAGAGAATCTGTCTAATGGAGAAGAGCCAATGTGTCTCCTCAGGTACTGATAGACACGTTGAAAATGTGAACTCCTAAATTCTTTTTCATCCATCAATCGAGCAGAAGCATCTACAGTGATACAAAAATTAAAATTAATTTAAAGTCTTGTTATTACCTCCTCTTCCTTCCTCAAGCACATTACAGACTGATCTAGGAGACAAACACTGAACTGTAGGAAGAAGCTTAAGTAGTTCAACTGTTGGCTTAGCAAACTTAATATCATTCTATAAACAATATTTAACACACAAAAAGTCATCAATACTATACTCAAAAATATGTACTTTTAATACAGAGACTTCAATGGCATATAGATGAGAAATGTAGGACCTCCATATTTTCCCCTGACTGTCAGATACAGCTTGTAATATCAGTAATGAGAACAATACTGAATCAACCTGCCTTAACACCTACATGTATTAAATCACAAAAAAGATGAAATACAAAGCATTATAACTTTATTGATAATTACATTTGGTGAAATATCAAGATGAAATATAATCGCTTGATTAGTGTCTTTACTACCAACACTACTTTTTAACAACTGAACAATACTGTCACTAGTAACTTTAGGACCATGAACTGGTATAATAACATCAGAAGAGACTCCATAGCACTTGCTCTTTAATTCTTCCTTCATTCTTTGAATATACAATGATTTGCCCATTCCTGTTCTATCAGATGTCACCACACGTACACATGAACTAATAAATAACACAAAATAAAAATATTCTACACAATATCTGTTACTTTTCTCTGTCAATAGTAGAAGCAAGTACTCGTCTTCCTAAAATGTTAGGATTTTGCACAAAATGAGACTTCAAATATTGTTTGTAATCATCATCATGATGGAATGTCTCCAGCTGTTGCTTGAAAAACTGAAGTTTCGATATCATATGAGACTTGTCAAGATCTTCATCACTACATACTATTACTAGCCTATAATCTGAACAGGAAAAATATATAAAGAAGATTATTAGAAAGTTATCACAATTTTTTACCATTTATAGCATAAGAACAATCAGAAAGTGATTTCAATGCTTTATCACAGACTTGATAAGAGAGCAGTTCAGCATGTACAAGACAGAATATTCTAAAGTGGTTAGGATCTCCCATTGCTCTCTTCCACAATAGAGTCACTTCTTCCTCAGTTGTATTCTCATTACAAATAAGAACCTCTTCATATGTTGGCATGGGAAGGTCTTTAGTCTCCATGTATAGCGAAAGGACAGTTTTAAACACTTTATCTGATGAGAAAATTAATTCATCATAATTTAAATTTTCTAACTTTGAGTACCTGGAGGGGTTACTAGTAGATTAGGTTCACCACATTTTAGTCCTTCGGGAAATTTTCTCTGCAAGCCAACAGTGGCTGATAAAGATTACAAAATTAATAGTCTTAAGCAAGTATTGTAAACTTACGTTTATTACTTTGAGAAAGTTGTTGTAGAGTCATACCCAGTGCCAGTATGGTGAGGTAATTTTCAGCTGAAGTTTTCTCACTACTTGTGATTACCAAGTTTCTACAAAAAAATTAGTGAAAAATATTCATTTAAAAATAACAGAATGAAGCACATTGTACTTACTGTAGTTCATCAGAGTCTGCACTGATTTGTCTATCATATTCTCCAATGCTATCATGTCTCTCAAAGACACTATCATAAGGTACTGGAGCAAACAGTTCACCTGATTCAGGTGGACCTTCCATTAGAGAAGCCATTGCTCTTTCTATATTGTCTGGATGTTGCTCAGCAGCAGCTAATGACTCTTCTACAGTAAAGCCAGAATCAATCAGACCTCTAACGACAGGGTGATCCTCACTGATGGGTACTCGATCAACTACTTTTAGCCTAGCTGGACGAGAGGCTGGAGGATGAGAAGAATGAGAGACAGTATGTGACGCAAGAGGAGGTACTTCAGTCCAAGCTTCTACAGGTCTATCAAAGGACTCTTCAAGAGCAGAATAAGAACCAGGAAGGTAAGGTGGTTCATGCAGTGTGATTGCCTCTTCAACATCAATCTCCATATCTTCCTCTTCTGAAGGTAGCTCCTCCTCATCTTCAGGATATATTTCAGTAGCAGTCTCACTTTCAGCATCACTATCAGTGAAGTCAAAATTCTCAATATTCTCATTGCACCACTCCATTACTGCTTCTTGTACTTTTGGCTTTTCGCATCTTTCAAATGCAAGAAAAATGAGTTTCCTTGAAAAACCAAACTCTTCCTTTAGATCATATACCATTGCTTTCTGGTTGTCAGTTAAATCTTCATCTGTCAGCTTAGGTTGAGGGCCTGAGGGGGTCACAGTCTTAAGTACTGCTTCTACTATTGGTTTAGTTAATGGTACTGAGTCTCTGTTCCCTATTGATTCTCTATTAGCATGTAACTCAGCTGCTGGTATGAATGAATTGTGATCATTTTGTATTGGCAAAGCATTATCTGATAGTAGCCTAGAAGGAGGATCTACATAACCTGATAAATAAGACTGCGATGATTTGCTATGAGTAAATAATTGATCTTGCAAAAATTGCTGCTCAGCAAGTATACCATTAACTGTTTGAACTTCATTTTTGATGGCATTGGAAGACAATTCCCGTGAGATGCTCTGCAGTAGAGTCAAGACTTCTTGTTTGACTGGTCTAGTTGGTACTGCACTTCCTTTGAATTGACCTAATTCCTCTCTGAGGGACAGAAGTTGTGGAGTTGTAAAGTAATTGAGTTCATAAAAATTATCTCTTTGTTGAGCAAGTTGACATTTCCAAGTTTGCAGATCTTCTTCCAATGCACTAGCTCTGACCTGAAGGCAGTTTACAATGTCATCCAATGCACAAGAGAAGGTTAGGGTCCATCCAATATATTTGTCGTTGCCATGTTGCTGTAACTCTATTAGGACATCAGTGATCCTACAGACACTGTGGAAAACCTGAAAAAAATATTATGCATGCATGCATGTGTAGATACTATGTTAGCTTACATCAAGAAACAAATCCACTTGTTTTCTTTCCTTTGTTTCTCTACCTGTTATTAGTACTAGTTTGCTCTCAAGGTCTCTTAGCTCATCAAGGTTATAATGCAACTTGTGGATCCTCTTACGCTTGGATTGCCTCATTCTTAAGTGGATACCTTCTGAACGACTAACCAAAATACCTTTCTTAGAGGATCCAATCTCATAGATACCATAACTATTAATGTTATTCATCTGACCAAAAGAGGTCACTTCCACAGAGCCTTGAGTTTCCTTAACTGATTGATACCAATCAATTTCTCTTTCACATGTTCTCTAAAGTGAAAATTAAAAAAATAAGGAGTAAGGAGGCTAGCAATATTAATTACCATCATTTCTGGAAGATTAGGAGCTGTCTCTAGAGTAACCCACAATGTTTTGCACAGCTCCTGCAGTTTCTGGTAACTGGCATCTTTTGTTAATCTGTATATTAAAGGACCAAACCCACTACCAACTGTACGTAAGAATGATAGCTTATCAGTAGTCATATCACCCTCTCCACCAGCTGCTGTAGCTAACGCAACTGTCACAAAATTAACTAAATTTGTTACATCTAGTAATGGTAAACATACCACAGATAACTGAAATGTATCAAAAACAAATACCTTTTGTTTCGTTTCTAATCCATTCTACAATTTTCTGACAATCAGCAAATGCTTCAAGACATTCTCTTTTAGCAGTATCCATTGCATATTCTTGAAGAAATCTTCCAGCATCCACCACACTATGATCAATAGTGCTCAGTGTGGCATGATTAGATGAAACCTAGTATTGAAACAAGTTTTTAAATAATTACTTTATTACTGTATATAAGTGGAATATTTCACTGTCCGTTATGACTTACACATGAGCTACTAACTTCATTTACAACAAAGAAATAATTAACTTGTTTCTATTGTTAAAAGTCATCTTAAAAGATTGTAAAAACCTTTCATAGAAAACAGAAGTTTTTATTTAACTTCTGAAATGCTCGTGTACTAAAAATATATATCTACTGGAATGAAATTTGTAAAACTTTTTTCCCATATGTGTAAGGTAAATATGCATAAGTGTAAGGTATGTACCTTTGATGCTACTCTTTCCACTATAACAAAGTCTCCAGTCAAATTAAGTGTATCACGAATTTTAAGAAATGATTCTGCTGTTTCTCTGTAGCCACACAAATCCCAATACTGACCAATATGCACAACAGCATTCTTTATCCAGTTGATATCATCAGTGACAATATGATTGATGGCATCAGCTGCATGCTGAAGATTAATGAGATCTTTCTGTAACTTATCAAGCTTCTTAAAGTAAACATTCTTAAACTGATCATCTACTTCTAACAAGGTCATGTCTCCAGACTGCAATTTTTTCAATAATAAGGTGCAAGATTGAAGTGTTGGCTGCCATAATATTGAATATATTTTTGATGAATCAACTGTTGCTGGTTGCTCACTCATATTTTTATGCCAAAGCCTATTAAAGATATCACTGGAGTATTTAGAAGAGATAATGAAGAATCCATTCAGGCAAGGATCAAGTGGTCTAGCATCAGAAAAAGACACAACCTCGCAGCTACCATCTGATGCTGTAATACATAACTTATTGATCTTTTCATCTTCGTAGTTCTTTTGAAGTTCATCCATTAAATTATATTGACCTGCAAAAAAAAACATACATAAAAATGGATGCAGACAACTGATACTAATTTTCATTCTTACCTGCTAATATTTTGCGAATATGAGAAAGAAAGTACTTCAATTTCATCATGTATTCTTCAAAATGTTCAAATTCTTTCAGTCGCTTCTCTATACTCTTTTGCAGATCAATTATTCGTGATTCATCAATAACTTCACAGAGTTTATTCATTTGTATTTGCTTAGCTCTAATGCTGTTTAATTCAGTAATAGTGATCCCACCACTATTAATATTAGCACACACTGCTTCTAATTTACTGACTGCACAAGTCACTATTAGCCTCCATTCACCAGACTCTCTAGTATCTTTCCCAACTTGAGCATCTGCAGAACATAAAAATAATTATTATGCTTTTAATAAAATTAATATTCCTTACAAGAGATCTTAAGAATTCCTGGCCACATTTCCCAATCAAGCAAATCATTAAAAGGAATTTCTTGTGTTCTGCGAAATTCAGGATACCTCTTCTCAATAATTTTAGAAATTAGCTTAAAAACCCGTTCAGACTTTAAGTCAAGTAACGTATCCCATCTTTGAATACTTTGTGTCTGCAAGAGTATAAACAATAAGGCTAAAAGTCTGGCAAGATGTAACTCACCATTGATCTCTTTGAAAACATACTATCTAATGCTTCAATTGCTTTCGTAAGAAATATGTTCCGGAATGAATCAGCAATTTCTTTTCGGTGCTCAACATTAATAAAAAGGTTAATCTTCAGCTCAGGTGATGGAATTTCAGAAACTCTATCACTAACAAGCTCCAGGACTATTGCTTCTAAATCATTTTCCATTACATCTGCTGAAAACTTAAGACTTAAAATGCTCTTCCAAAACTAAAAGAGACAAAGTAAATTCAAATAAAGTATGAATTACTTCAAGTTCTTCATTTTCTTTCTTCAATTCTTGAAAAGTTGTTCCAGCAAACTTCAAGGAAGCACCAAAGAAGGATCCACCAATAACATCTTTATGAGCAACCCAGTCCTTTAGTAGTTCTCTTACATTAACAGTTAGACTCTGACAAAGAGTGTCCTGATTATTAGCCTGATCTTGAAACAATTTAGCTTTAAAAAGGATGTGAAGGTAGAGTGAAATCATAGATTTTACTAAAATCTTAGCATTTTTTGAAAAATTTAGTTTGTCTCGAAAACTCTCAAGCAAAAAACCTGCAGCATCAGAATACCAGACTAATACAGCAAAACTACAAAAGGAACTTATATGATGTACTTTAGATCAATAAAATAATTACGTGGTAATATCTTTCTCATAAATTCTTTTAAGAATGTTAGCTAATGGTATCCTGAAGCAATGATTCATCTAGAAATGAAAACTTAGTTAAACTTATACTTTTCATTATTCATGCCACTTATTCAGTAAAATTGAAGAAAAAATTAATCATTTGTTTAACAAAACTTATTGATGCAATTGTACTAGCAAAGCATACCATTAAAAAAGTATTTCTTAAAAAAGCAAAAAGTTTTTACTTGTACAAATGATAAATTTATATATACATGTACATCATGGTATGGCTTATGTGGGCTCCTGAATATACTGGTACATAAAATATACATGTAGTTATGACACAGCAAGCATGAGGTACACATCAAAGGTTAAGACGCTTGACAAGAAGTTGGCACACGACAAGCATGCAGAACCTACACATTGAAAATTGTTTTTCATGTCCATTATTTGGTGTATGCCATTAAACATCTGTAAACATTATTCTAATCATACAAAACTAATTCCACTTTCTGGATTATACATGTAGGCTTATAGTTAAGATACATGTATGCATTGGTTTTCAGCATACCTTGTTCTCAGTCACTGATGATAATCTCAAATTGTGAGTATCTGAATGTAAATTGAGTCTTTCAATAAGCCACACAATGGCTAGCTCAATTGGCAACATGTCACAAAGAATAACTGTATCCTCCTGGGGACAAATGTAGGGGATTATGTAAAGAAGTTTTGAATCAAACTGAAATAACTGTTGAATATCTTTTTCGTGCTTTTGAACAAACCTATATAAAGTGGGCAAACACATACATGTTTATTATTGACAGCTTTACTACACTACAATATTCCTACCCTGATTTGAATTGTAATGTTGATTGTAATTTTCCAATCATAACTGAAGGATCACCCCAAGTTATCTGATTTAAAGGAACACATGACTTCTGATTGGGCACTGAGAGGTCACACAAAAAGTGGTATAAAGGTAAAGCTTTGACAATAACAATGGCATTCTCATGCTTCTGCAATGCTATAACTGTTCTTAAGTAATGAACAAGAGCAACTACAACAATATTCCTATAAGGAACAATAATTAAATAAAAATTCTACATAAATTACTTTGCTTCAGGTGATTCTCCTATCATACTCCTTAAAAACTTAAGTTCTTTTTCTCCGTTAGTAATTGATAAACTCATTGCTTGAAGCAGTGCAACTCTAAACTCATTTGAAAAAGGAACATTGACAGACTGATTTAGTTTGTATAAACAACAGGCCAAAAGTACAGCTGAAGTAACAGAATTATATGCATAATCTCGTTGCTTATTTAGATTAACAAGAACAGCTTCTATCCAGTCAATTAAAAACTACATAGTGGAATGTCATTTCAAAACATTGTGCAATTGACTTACTGAACCAATATCTGGAACTTCCCAACGGTTCTCACCTCCTCTATGTTCCACCCATTGCAAAAATGCACATCGAATTAGAGACACACAGCCATTTATTGCTACATCAAGTTTCACCTTAAATTTTCCACTCAAAAGAATTTCTCTTGTTGGTTGCAAGTGAATTTCCATACATTGACAGCGCATCACAGTCGGAGTAGGAACAGTGATGGCAGTGGGATCATCAGGCTCTGCTCTTGAAATAATATCCCAAACCTTCTTTAATGTTCCTTTGGCTGTTTTAACCTTAGTTTCAGGTAAAATGATAGTGTCAAACTGTCTATAGAAACCTGTAAATAAAACAATTATACCACTGAACACATTAGAACTAATCACTCACCTCCAGGAACTAACTTTTCCTTGGGTACTTTAAGTAACCTATTTGTATTGACACCTTGATAAGGAGGTGCTCCATGAAGGTACTCAAATTGATGCGTCACTTTTATCAATGGAGAATACACTACATATTTGTATGGAAGACCATTTTTTAAGGACACTATAAAATCAGTATTGATTGTCATATCATATCTGACTGAATGGAATCCTCCACCAGCATCTCTAATAATAGTGAATGTAAAATTGAAAGCCACAAAAATTATAAAACAAACCTCAGTAATATACATGGACCAATATCAAATTTCCAATCTCCCAGACTTTTGTGTCCAAATCTCATGTAGACTTCAGAGCTTCCTTCTTCCCATTTCCAAATTTCCTTTTGAATGACAGCATTAAATTGTAATCTCATTGCCCTATTCTGTGTAGGCTGCAATACATGAAGTTTAGTTGTTGGCCTACATATATTATACATAAACACATATAAAATTATAAATAAAAATTGTTTTAAAGAAAAAAATTACTTACAAATTAGGGCATACACGTAGTTCATCTTTCTTCTCACTTCTTGGCTTGTTTTCATTACCACCAACAGTTCCACTACTACCAACACCTTTCCCACTAATTCCACCCTTTATATTCTCACCACTTTTCCCACTTTCCTTTATTCCCTCTTTATGTCCCTTTTTGTTAGCTTCATCCTTTGCACTTTCTACTCTTTCACTTACTGCACCATCATTTTCACCTTCCTTTGCATCCTTTCCCTTTTGTTTACGATCTGTTTCAGAGTCTCCATCTCTACTATCATTACTACCATTACCACTTCCATTTTTGGTATTTCTAATTGCTCCATTTTTACTACCACCCATAACATCATTAGATCTGTTTATGTTATTTAATTTATCCTCTGTGTCATTACTTCTATTATCACTAGTTCCTTCATTTTCTCTTCCTAGATTTTCTGTCTCCGATTGTTGGTTATTTTCCCCATTTTTCTTATCTCCATCTAATATTGTCCATTCTTCTTCTGACTTCTGAGTAATGTCAATTACTGTAACAGGTTCGCCAATAATTCCAAACGTATCATCAACTTTTTCACAAGTGACTGCTCCGCCAACCATTGCAGTTACACGATCAGTGTTACCTACAACTGTGGTAGTTACAGAATTTTGTTTTTGCCTACTAGCTGAGTTATTTCCTTGATCCAGAGGAGTTTGAGCAGCAGACAAATCGGAAGTAATAGACTGGTTTTGTTTAAACTTTTTCATTATTTGTTCTTGCGACAAAAATGGCCGGTCAGTTGGCTGTGAAGACAAGTCAGGAGAATCAGGAGGACCAGGAGGATCAGCAGGAGGAAGAGGAGGATCAGGCCTAAGAGGAGAAGGACTAGCAGAAGGAGGGTAGCTGGGAGAAGGGAGACTAGCAGGAGGAGGACCAGCAAGAGGAGGGTCAGGGTCAGCAGGAAGAGGGGGAGGGTCAGCGGAAGGGGAAGGACCAGCAGGAGGAGGGGGAGGGTTGGCGGAAGGAGGAAGAGGAGGAGGAGGAGGATCAGAGAAAGGAGGAAGAGGAGGAGGAGGATCAGAGAAAGGAGGAAGGCCAGCAGGAGGAGGAAGGTCAGCAAGAGGAGAAAGGTCAGCAGAAGGAGGAGAGTCAGCAGGAGGAGAAGGGTCAGAGGAAGAAGGAAGATTAGCAAGAGGAGGGTCAGCGGAAGGAGGAGGAGGACGAGGAGGGTCAGAGGAAGGAGGAAGGCCAGAAGGAGGAGGAAGGCCAGAAGGAGGAGGAAGGTCAGCAAGAGGAGAAAGGTCAGCAGAAGGAGGAGAGTCAGCAGGAGGAGAAGGGTCAGAGGAAGAAGGAAGATCAGCAAGAGGAGGGTCAGCGGAAGGAGGAGGAGGAGGGTCAAAGGAAGGAGGAAGGTCAGGAGGAGGAGGAGGAGGAGGGTCAGAGGAAGGAGGAAGGTCAGCAGGAGGAGGGTCAGTGGAAGGAGGAAGGCCAGCAAGAGGACCAGCAGGGTGAGGAATAGCAGGAGGAGGACCGGCAGTAGCATAAGAAGCAAGCTGAGGAGAGTAATTTTGTGGTTGAACATCATAAGAAGGAGCTTGTGATTCAGTAGTAAATGGGATGGTATGATGAATTGCAGAGGTAGGAGGAGACTTTTGTATGGCAGAACAATACTTATCAACACAAACTCTAGATTCATAAAAAATATGTCTACCACAAGCCTGACACTTTTTAAAAGGTCGCTTGTTAAGTTCCTCATAATCTTGTGGTGCAGTACAAAATATACAATCTTTTCCTGGTGATAACAAAGCACGGCCACAAAATATGCACTGTGTTTTTAGGGACTCCTGTGATGATGAGGCTTGAGGTTGCCTACATTTACTACAATATACAGCAATAGAGGGTAGATGTGCACCACAGTGTATGCACCGTTTCACAGTAACATTCTGCTTCTGTGGCTCACCACATACGACACAGTACACGGCATCGAGAGACAGCTGTGCTTTACAGTGAATACAAGCTTTTGTGAGTGACTGGGGTGCGCCACATTTCCCACAAAACTTGGCATCATGAGGAATTAGAGGGTACTTACAGGAGACACAAATCACCTGACTAGACATTGGAGGCCTTGAATTAGTCTAACCATGTGGTCCGACGTGCCTTTATCCGCTGATGTGCAACCCAACGCTAAGTAGAGGAAACAAAACGACGAGGGAAGACTTCCAGAAATATCTAATGACTCAAAGAACTACTGGGCGACCAACTTCTCACCCCCATCTATGTCATATACACTGGAAAGGGAATGCCCACGGGACTATCCCTAATTAAAGCTCGCAGGCGTGGTAAATTTAAAATTTAAAATCAAAATTAGAAAAAATGAAACTTGGACAGAAAATAACATCGTATGAGCAGCACACATAAAAATGTTATCCTCATTTAGTGCAAAAATCCTCCACTACACTGCAGATAAATAATTCCACCAGTAAATTGCCCTTGGCTGGCTTAATTCAGCTTCCCTCTCAAAGTAAGTGTACATCAAACGGATAGTCTCTTTATCCATCCTTCAAAGGCACCTAAAGTAGTGATAGAAGAACAATAATTTACAATACATTACATCTACTTTATCAATAATCATCTAATATTCTATGACAAACTTTGAAACAGAATAATTTTGTCCAGCATCCATGCTTTGTTCATGCACTATATAGAAACATACTGCTAACAAGACTTGTGGTTATACTTTGATCTTGTAAATTACATGTTGCTAAGAATAACAACATATGTTAGTTACAACTACAAGATCAAAAGTCACAGTATATTAAAGTTGACATGTACTGTAGTAGGTTGCATCATTTTAATAATTACTTAATTTTTAGAGTAACGGAAGTAGTTTAGGAACGCTTAACGTCCACAAGGATATGGCATTACTAAGCCATACAGAAAGGGCAAGAGACTGATTTCATCCTTCATACAGGATCAGAAAGTGGCTGGATACCAAATGCAGAACTGTGAAGGGGCACTTCAGACGACTACCAGTATCATAAAGATATGAATCACTAGGAATTCGAGCGATGATTCAAAGATCAGCTCCTTCCCAATATTCCTATAAACTTTATATTTGCAACAGACAACACCTCATATCATTCAAAAAGATTTGAACCACTACCTACTTCATCATGGTGTAAAAGTGATACCAAACAGCTCAAAATATTCAGGGGTAAAAAATTTCGCGAATGAGTGAAAAGAGAGATATTTGCAATTAAAACAAATGGCCCACGCCTATTGCATTGAGGGTATGGCTAGCAGCTCTATACTTGAAGATTGGGAGAGCTTTTACAGGATCAGGCAAGGAACCTGAGGAACTGGAGCCAGAGGTGCTGGGCAATGCAGCAGCAGCACCTGTAATGTAAGCTCAAATCCATCAGATCATGACAACATTGGGAAAACTGGAAGAAGGCATCTTAGAGGAAAGTCAAGTCTGTAGCCAGAAGGATAAAGCAGGAAAAGGAGAGCTATATGTTCTAGAAAAAGGGCATCGCCTACAGTACAAATTTATTGAGGATAGGAGAATAGTGTCATCAAGAAGCTACCAGTTAAAAAAGCAAACACAACAAGAGAGCTTTTGCAGCAAAGAGTTGGCAAGAATAAGAGGCTGATACCTCAGCTGATAATGAAGTAGGACGGAGGAAATCCAAGAAATAGTGCATCTTATTTTCTGTTTGTGTTTAAATTACAGAAATTAGCAAACAAGAATATACCATTTTGAGCTGCTTCAAACAAGAAGGCCTTTTACATCATTACAACATGAAAGTAAATACTTGCATAGTCTGCTATAGATGACATGGCAATAAGTGCTGGTCATGAAGTGGTGAGGCTTTCAGTAGGACACTGTGAACTTAAAAATGGAATGGGCTTAAAAACATAATACACAATTTACATTGGAAGCATTGGAGCCTCAAGTTAAAGAGGGTATTGCACAAATTACTCCAGCCATATGGTATGTCTTGTTTAGCATGTATGTGAAAAGATAGAGGATCAATAGTATGAAGCTAATGGACTATTATATGCAGTTACTGTACCTGCTTTTTCATTTTGTGTTGATGACAACTGAATCAAAATCAGATAAATCAGACAATGAATAAAAGTGAAAGCAATATTACAGGATGAAGAGCTATGAGGAACAGCCTCCTTGCAAGTGTAAAGGGCTTGTGGCGAAAGATCCCACTTGACTTTAATTATTTAAATAATCACAAAAATATTAACACAAGCATACGAACGTGGAAAATCATTGTACTTATGTAAAGATAATCAGTCAAAGGCCACAATATCCCTGTTTAACTAACAGCAGCCATTTTTAGAATTCTTGACAGTGCTTACAGAAAAGGTCTTGAGCTATGATAGTCGTACCAATGGAGTCTCAAGGTTAAGATGAGGTCCTCAAAGCAGTCTGCTAAGTGTAGCTTGTTCAAAAGTTGTGGGAGCCAAATAGGGCTAATCCTACACTTGTACTTAGTAATGTTACTGCATTACTGAATGCAACCCAGTAAGGTATGGCCTGACCTTCACAAGAGACGGAAGGTCAGGACCACTGCAATACACAAAGTCAACTCACCACACAGGTTTGTGCAGTGACACATAAAGACTCATAACCATTTATAAACTGGAGATTTTGGTGCAGAAGCAATGCTTGACGTAGGGCTCAAATTCCAACAAAAAAGAGAGTAGAAAGATGCAATTTCTGCTATAATTTCTGAAAAGGATGTTATGGCCGTGCCTCCTACAGGTTTTGCAAGTACAGTAAAAAGCAAAAAAGCTAAGTAGTGTAAGTAGTACGGAGGTAGTTCGTATGTAGTATTTGTACTTCTACTCTTCGTTACTCTTTGCCCAGGAAGTACAGCAATACTGCCAGTCACATGTGCAAGCGCTCACACGCTCAAGAGGCTCTCAAAAATGGAGGATGCTTCACCTGGCTGTCTGTGCTCTCCAAGTTCATTTGTACTGCCACTCTCTGATTTTAGAAGCCAAGTTAGGAGGTTCTTGGCTCAATTCTACCGTCGAGCTACTGACTACGTGTGCTACTACCACTGGTGGCTTTGCCCATGCACAACAAAGGAGCAGCGAACTACATATTAAAAATTAAAACAATGCGTTTAGCTATTGTAATCTACTTTTTCTTGTAGCTTATGTAACAAAAAGGTTTCAAGACTCCACTGCAGCAACTGTAACAATGACAATAAATCATAAATGTGTTAATGTAAGAAGGGCACTCTAAGACTGATTAACAGGCAATTAAAATTGTTGACCAATATTTGTGTTGTTTTCAGTAAAATTGTTAAATCTACTTTTGTTGCTGTTGATTATTAGAGTACTGAGCACTATGCTAACATAACAAGAGTAGATAGAAATAAAATTTTAATATTACATGACATGACGAATTAGAAATTAACAGTATTATACAACTGAACTGATACAGGATTGGATCATCAAGAGTTGGATGTGACTGTTAGTGTACAAGTGCCTGTTTATTTCAAACAGATTTCGTCATCAGTTACACTAAGAGGAGGTATTATTCAATACTGTCTTTCAAGATTCAAGTCAAGCCAGAGGTATTTACTGAAGAGGACCTTACGATTGGCGCGAAAGGTGACCTGCAAATGTTGATATATCTTGTGCCATGTCTGCGAGCGTACAATACCTACATATACTAAAGGTGCTAGTACTACTAATTTACTTATTACCTATTATGTGGGTGTGATTTGTACTAGTTATCATTATATCAACGAATATCATCTCAATTCATAAAACTACACCACAGCTCATTATTGATACCTACAGTACAGTTTTTAAAAAAGATAAAAGTAAAGTAGCAAAAGAAAACTTCTTAAGTAGTTCTTTTAGTTTGCTAATCTTTGTTGTATTATAGCCATCGAGTACTGCAGTACCACCAAGTGACATGTACTGTAGTAGCAGCTGTCAAAAAACTTAAGGATCCTACTGTACTACCTCCCAGTGGCGGATCTGGGTTCAAGTTAATGGTAGGGCCAGGAAGTGGGTGTGTCCATTTTTCAACCTGTTATGCCTGTTTTGACCATTTTATGATGATTTTCATCCATTTCCTATCTATGCAGCAACCAGTCAATACTTTTAAGAAAGAACATTTAACTGACTCAAATAATAAACTCTTTTGTGCAGGCTGTTGGAAAAAACTCTGTTAAATGCAGTGTAGTACGTAATCATATAAATTCTTCAAAGCACAAGTCTGGAAAAGAGCAGTTATAAAAGAAAGGCCAGACTGAAATGAATATCTCTCATGCATTGCAATCTAGTGATGAGGCAGTAAATGTTAAAGGAGAGACTTTACCAGAAGAACACATGTGTACCAAGTTAAAGTTGTTACTTGCTATGTCCTTTGCTCTTCTGCCAATACCGGCAGAAGCAGTGGATAAGGTTGAGAGGGGAGTGCTTATTGATTTTAAAGACCTGCTCCACAATAATGTGACTCTTTTTGATACACTGCAAGAGCTAGGGTCATCTGCCCCCACATCAGTTCAGCAAATGCGTGATATTACAGACTCCCTCTCACGGGCCTACTGTTTTTTATCATTTGTGGCAGTGTCTGTGCATGACAGAGACCAGGGATTTAATGGCATATGGCAAGGTCATGGCAAGAAATCACTGAGGTTTAGGCTGGGTCGGTTATGATAAGCCAACAAAAAATGACAGGAATGCCACTACAATGGTCCAAAGTGAACTCCTCATTCATGGCTGCTACTGTGCTGGGAGGGGCTTCACCCACACCAATCCAGACGTGCTCTAGAGGATTTTAATGGGACCACAAGAAGGATGACTGCGCTCTAGCAAGCTTGAACACCAACACAAGGTCTTCCAGTCCTAACCCTTGGTTAGAATTCCCAACTGAGTCTTCATTAATCACACATTTCATTGAATATCCCCTTCAATGTGGTCAATTACATGTAGTTTGAGTCTACCACAGAATTAGGGAAACTGTTTATATAATTAATACATATCAACTTTTCTGACAATGCTTAGAAAGCAATTTTAGCAGACCTTCACTTGCAGAATACGTGAGATTATTGTTTAGCCAAAATTCCATTATTGACTTCTAACTCTATGCAAAGTATAATGTACCCAAAAAGTTTGTTTCAAAATCTGATGCAAAAGAGCTCTTCATTGCCAAGATACGGAGGAATGAATCTAGCATCACTAATGTGGTCAACTCAGCTTCTCCAGGAGCTGTGTTCAGTGCTATTCTTAACAGCAGCATTAACGCAGGAGTTAACACAACGTAA